ATCATGTTTGGTAAGGTGGAGGGTCAGAGAAAAAGAGTAAGACCCCCAACAAGATGGACTGGCCAAGTGGCAGCATCCATGGACTGAAGCATGGCAACAGTAATGAGGTTGGCCCAGGAATGGGCAGTGTTTCGTTCTGCTGTGCATAAGGTCGCTATGGGTCGGTACCGACTTGATGGCACCTAACAACAGCCACAACAATACAGAGCATACACACTGCAAAAATTTCACAAACAAAAGATAACAAAATAGATGAGTGGGACATTCCAAAAATCAGAAACTTATGTGCATCAAAAGATTTCACCAAGAGTAAAAAGGGAGCCCATTGAACAGGAAAAAAATCTTTTGCAACAACACATCAAACAAGGGACTAATTCCTAAAATCTATAGGAAACTACATCACCTGTACAAGAAAAAGGCAAACAACACAATTAAAAAATGGGCTCAGAATCAAGAATCCAGAAATTAACCCTTCTATATACCGCCAACTGATCTTCGACAAAGGGTCTAAGTACATTGCCTAGGGAGTAGATAAGTCTCAACAGATGATACTGGCAGAACTGGAAATCGATATGCAAAAGAACAAAACAAGACCTTTACCTCATGCCATATACAAAAACCAACTCAACATGGATTAAAGACCTAAATGTGAATCCCAGAATTATACAGGTCATCAATTAAAAAATAGGGACAAATTTGAGGGCTCTAATACAGGACACACACAGACTACCAATCATTGCGAAAATTGCACAAACGAAGACAAAATAGATGATTCGGACATACTTAAAATGAGAAACTTATGTCCGTCAAAAGATTTTACCAGAAGAGTAAAAGGGGAGCCCAGAGAATGGGAAAAAATCTTTTGCAACTACATATCAGACAAGGGACTAATTTCTAAAATCTATAGGAAACTACAACACATCTACAAGAAAAAGACAAATAACCCAATCAAAGATATTTGGAAGAACATATAAATAAATGTTCATGATCATTAGCCATTAGAGAGATGCAATAAAAACAACAATAAGATATCATCTCACACTAGCAATAACAGAGAAGTTAAAAAAAGCAGAGAACAATAAATGCTAGCACAGATATGGAGAGAATGGGACCCTCCTACATTGCTGGTGGGATTGCAAAATGATCCAACCACTCTGGAAAACAGTATGGTGCTTTGTTGGAAATAGAAATACCTTACCATCCAGCAATTCCTCTATTTGGTATACATCCACAAGAAATTTGAGCCATAACACAAATAGATATATGGTGAAATCTTTTGATCAAGTAAGGTGCTAATTTTCAGAATGTCCCAATCATCTTTTTTGTCTTCTTTTGTTTGTGTAATTTTTGCCATGTTTGGTAGTCTGTGTGTGCCCTGTATTGTTGTTAAATACTGTAGAATCGGTTCCGACTAATAGTGACCCTACACAGGGTTTCCGAGGCTGCAAATCTTTATGGGAGCAGAAAGCCTCATCTTTCTCCCACAGAACATCTGGTAGTTTCGAACCGCCGACCTTGAGGTTAGCAGCCCAATTTGTACCCACTACACTACCAGAATAATAATGCCCTGTATTACAGCCCTTAAATTTGTATCTATTTTTACATTGATGACTTTTATAATTCAGGGATTCACATTCAGGTCTTTAATCCATGCTGAGTTTCTTTTTGTATATGTTGTTGTTGTCAGGTGCCTTCAAGTCAGTACCAACTCCTAACAACCCTATGAACAACAGAACGAAACACTGCCAGGTCCAGGGATAACCTCACAACTGTTTCAGCACCAAAGATGGAGGCAGAGATGAGGACATGGAAAGAGAGAGAGCAGCTGAGTACTCTAGACTCATGGGAAGAGAGGGACTAGGTGCTGGAGGTCAGGACGCAGGCATGCAGAATGTGCCCTTTGGTTTTTAAAATTATTATATATTCCTGAGTGTTTTCGTGTATATTCCTCCACGCTACCCCACCCCCTTCAAAAAAAAACAACAACAATAGAGGGAATAGAAGCAAGTACTGTTGAACGCTGATGCATGGAAGAGATTGTAATTATTGTAACGAAATGATAGTGTAAAACCCATGTTCTCCCATGTAAACGATCCCTCAATTCACAATAAAAATTTAAAAAAAAAACAAAAAACAGTCATTTAGATTTAACAGTATTTAAAAAAAAGAAATGAAAACTATGTCCACACAAAACTTGTATGTGAATGTTCTCATTAGCACACTAATAGTCAAAAGTCAAACAACCCAACTATTCATTAACTATGAATGGATAAATGAAATGTGGTATATATTCAAAGGAATATTATTTGTCAGTAAAAAGAAACTGTTAGTTGGTAGGTGTCGTGAAGTGATTTCCAACTCATAGTGACTTTATACACAACAGAAGAAAATACTGCCCAGTTCTTTACCATCCTCACAATTGTTGATATGCTTGAGTTCACTGCTGCTGCCACTGTGCCAGTCCATTTTATTGGGGTTCTTCCTCTATTTTCATTAATGCTCCACTTTATCAAGAATGATTGCCTTCTCCAGGGTCTGGTCCATCCTGATAATATGTCCAAAATATGAGAGACAAAGTCTTGCAATTCTGGCTTCTAAGGAGCACTCTAGCTGTCCTACTTCCAATAAAGACTTGTTGGTTCTTCTGGCAGTTCATGGTAGTTTTGATATTCTTCTCCAACACCACAACTCATATGCATCAATTTTTCTATGGTCATCCTTCTTCACTGTGCAAATATGAGACTACTGAAAATATCATGGCATGGGTCAGAGCACCTTAGTCCTCAGACTAATATCTTTGCTCTTCAAAACTTTAAAGAGGTCTGTCTTGTGCAGCAGATCTGCCTAATGCAATACATATTTGTTCTCCTGACTGTTGCTTCCATAAGTGTTAATAGTGGATCCAAGCAAACTTAAGTCTGACAATTTCAATCTTTTCTCAGTTGATCACAATGTTATTTATTGGCCCAGTTGTGAGGATTTTTGTTTTATTTACACTGAGGTGCAACTCACACCAAGGTTTTGGTCTTCAATCTTCACCAATAAGTATTTTAAGTACTGTTCGCCTTCAGCAAGTAAGAGTGTATCATCTGCATATCATAGGTTGTTAATGAGTTATCCTCCAATTCTTCTTCATAAAATCCAGCTTCTTAGATTATTTGTTCAGTATACAGACTGAACAAGTATACTGAAATAATGCAATCCTGGAACAAAACTTTCCTGATTTTAAATCATTCAGTATCCCCTAGTTCTGTTGGAATGACTGCCTCTCGGGTCAACGTACAGGTTGTTCATGAGCACAATTAAGTGTTCTGGAATATTCATTTTTCACATTGTTGTCAATTGTTTGTCATGATCCACAATTTCAATGGCTTCTACACAGTCAATAAATGACAGATAAACATCTTTCCGATAAAAAGAAATACTAGTTATGAAATGGATGAACCTTGAAAACACTATACTAAGTGAAGGAAGCCAATCACAAAAGACCACATTTTATACAGTTAGTATTTAAATGAAATGTCTAAAACTACAAAATTCAGAGACAGAAAACAGATGAGTGGTTCCTTAAGATTGGGGGTACATGAAGGGAAGAAATGAGTTTTCTCTTAGAGATGATGAAACAGTACTAAAATTAGACTGTGATAATGGTTGCACACACTGTGAAAATACTAAAACACTGTACATTTTAAATGGGAAAATTATAAAGTATATTTTAATAAAGTTGTTAAAAGTGTACCATTTATAATCCTAAGGTCAGCGGTTCGAAACTACCAGCTGCTCCGTGGGAGAAAGATGAGGCTTTCTACTCCTGTAAGGATTTACACCCTCGGAAACCCTGTACAGGGTCGCTATGGGTCGGAACCGACTCGACGGCACTTAACAACAACAACAACAATCCTATCTTTAAGCCTATAATCTTAACCCCTACCTAATCCTATCTTTAATCACACATGAATAGTCCTAACAAGTCCTTATTTTTCCCTCTAGTTTTTACATTTATTTCCCTACCTGGTTTTGCATAAAGTTCTGATAATGTACAGTAGCTGAAAGACCTTGGTGGGCCTTCAATGTAAATTCTTCTCTTGTTTCTATGTTTATCCTGATGGATGCTGGCTTTTGGTAAATGGACCTTCATTTAACAATGGGGCACAACTCATAATTAGGAAAAACATCTGTAAACATGCATTAATAATCAGAATATGGAACATACAAAGTACAAATCTAGGAAAACTGGAAGTTGTCAAAAATGACAACAATAACTGGCAATTATTTCAGTTAGACCAATGAGCAGTGTTCTTTCTGGAAACCACTAAATAAAAAGTTTGACCATATTCCACACAATGTAAAACACCAGCTTCTAGTACCTAATTTTTTTTTTTCTGATTTACTAAAAATTGTCCAATCACCTTATTCTAACAGTACCCTAAACATTATCATTATCAAATCTTTACTGATGAACATCAAAGAGCACAGCTTTCAGTATGGATTGTGTTTCAATGTAAAGAAAACAAAAATCTTCACTACTGGACCAATAAACAACATTCTTATCAACGGTGAAAAGACTGAAGTTGTCAAGGACTTCATTCTTCTTGGATCAACTATTGACACTCATAGATGCAGCAGTCAAGGAATCAAACAACGTATTGCATTAGGCAAATCTGCTGCACAAGACCTTTTTAAAGTGTTGAAGAGCAAAGATGTCAGCTTGAGGACTAAAAGGTACGCCTGACCAAAGCCATGGTATTTTCAATAACCTCATATGCATGCGAAAACTGGACAGTTAATAAGGAAGACCATAGAAGAATTGATGCTCTTGAGTTATGTTGGAGGAGAATATTGCAAGTGCCATTGGCTGCCAAAAAACCAACAGATCTATGTTGGAAGAAGTGCTCCTTGGAGGCCATGATGGCCAAACTTCATCTCTCATACTTCGGACATATTGTCAAGAGGGACCAGTCATTGGAGAAAGATATCATGTTTGGTAGGGTGGAGGATCAGAGAAAAAGAGGAAAGACCCCAAGCGAGATGGATTGGCAAAGAGGCAGCATCAATGGGCTCAACTGTGGCAATGATAGTGAGGTTGGCCCAGGATCAGGCAGGGTTTCATTCTACTGTGCATAAGGTCGCTAGTAGTCGATACCAACTTGATGGCACCTAGCAACAACAACAACAACAAAATGTCATGTTATCAATATAGACTAAAACATCCTTTTAAGACTAGTCCCATAAGAGTTCCAATTTTTCAGCCAAAAGCTGTTTTAAGTCCAAATATTTTTTCTTTAAAGAAAATATTTGCTTTTCTATATAATTGTAGCATAGCGGTTGCAAATCAGGCTGCTAACCTCAAGGTCGGCAGTTCGAAACTACCAGCTGTTCCACAGGAGACAGATGAGGCTTTCTGCTCCTGTAAAGATTTCAGCCTTGGAAACCCTGTGCAGGGTCACTATGAGTCGGAACCAACTCCATGGTACTTAACAACAACAACATATATACATTATAGAAAAATTTACAGAAAGCAAAACAAAATAAAAAATCTCCTATACAAACACTACCTAGGAGTAATTAGTATTAACCTCTTGGTCCATTTCTTTTCAGACTTTTGTCTATGCATACAGTATTCTGTCTTAATTTCATTCTTTTGCTTTATTTTACTTTAAAGTACTTATCACTTAAAATAGTATTCCATATTTGCTTCTTTGCTTCCTAGAATTTAAAAAGGAAGTTTTTTTTCTTTGCTTCCTAGAACTTAAAAAATCTTTTCACTATAATCTGATTCTAGAACAATACCTGACGGTTGTAGACAGTCCAAAAATATTTGTTAAGTAAATGTGCTTTTTTAACCAAATTGAAACCATATTATATACAGTTTTATATCCTCTTTGTTCACTTAGCTTTATATCGCAGGCACTTTAACTTGTCCAGATATTTTTTGAAAATATAAATTTTAGAATGGCTATACTCATTAATGTATGTATCATAGCTTATGTAATCATTCCCTTTATTTCCAATTATTTTGATACTCTACATTATGCCAAGATATAAAAAAAGCCTGTGTACTTAAGCAGCCCAATTCACAACCACTACGCTACCAGAACTATATATGTATGTGTGTGTGTGTGTATATATATACACACATACATATTTATGTATTTACATATGTATATGCAACAATATATGCATAAGTATGTGACTGTATGCACATATATCACATATATGATAAAGCACAAAAGGAAGAGTTACAGAGTCTTCACGTTGTTGTTGTTATTGATAAGTGCCATTGAGTAGGCTCCAACTCATAGTGACCCTGTATGGGGTTTCCAAGGAACAACTGGTGAGTTTGAACCGTTGACCTTATGGTTCAAACTGACCTTATGGTCCAGTACATTATCCCACAGTGCCACACCGGGGATACTTCATAGACATATCCAAACATCTAGCAAGACTGCATTTTGGGGTTTGAAGGATTAGGACCATAGGCTTGTGGGACATCTCAGGTAACTCAGTGTGGAGAATAGTATCTGCAAACAACTTGTCAAAGATTGAATCTGTCCTAACGTATGTGTCACCTTGGCTAGGTAATTATTCTCAGTGGTTTGGCAGCTAAGTAATGATGCAATGTGGCAGTTATGTGATGATTCCCCAGGATGTGCTAAATCAATAAAAGGATTAAGGGTGGGCTGCAATATCCTTAATCCCATCCCAGCCTGGATCTGATGTAAGGGAGTTTCCCAGGGATGTGGAATGCAACACCTTTTATCTTATAAGAGATAAAAGGAGAGAGAGTGAACAGAGAAAGAGGGACCTAGTACCACCAGGAAAGATGAGTCAGGAACAGAGTACATCCTTTGCATCCAAGGTCCCTGCCCTGTTAAGCTCCTAGATCCAGAGGATGACTGATGCCAAGATATATGAAGATGCAAATAATGTTGGGCCTACAAAAACTGAGAGGAGAAAGCTTTCCCCAGAGCTGACAAAGAAAACGAAAGCCTTCTTCTAGAGTCAGTGCTCTAAATACATGCTTCTAGCCTCCTAAACTTTGAGAGAATAAATTTGTTAAAGCCATAAACTTGTGGTGTTTATGTTATAGCAGCACTAGTTAACTAAGATATGGCCATCTAAGATACAACTATCGGTCTCTACTCCTCTGTAGCAAAGCAGAAAGTAAGAAAACAAAAACCCAGAGTAGAGACTATAGTATACATGATGAATATTCTACACAAACCTTACTCTTACTTACACTGAGGCCAGAATTATATGGTTCTGGGCTACCACTACTCACCATTCTAATTAGGGCCACAACAGAGTGACCTAAAAATGTAGAAAAGAACCTCTAATTCCTTAATAAAGCAAACCACATCTATTGGACTGATTGAGACTAGAGGACTCCAGAAGACTATTGTCCTGAGATATCTTCAAATCTGGAACTGAAACTAACCCCTAAAGTTACTCTGTAACTAAATAAAAAACTGACTATAAAAATGATGAGTATCATTTGTAAATACTGTGCCCCTTTTTAAAAAATCACCTATATGAGACGAAACAGTCAAGCAAAAAAAAAAAAAAAAACACAAAACAGGCTACAGTTTTACTTTAAGTCAAAGATGAGACTATAAGGGAGCAAATGAACTAGATTAATGGAAACAGAACAACCAGAACAAGAATAATGAGAATGTTCGTGCATTCTAAAGAATGTAACCAGTGTTACTGAACAATTTGTGTAGAAACTATTGAATAGGATCCTAAACTGCTGTGTAAACTTTCACTAAAAACACAATGTTATTTTTTAAAAATAGAAAGGAATTTACCTCTTGGATAGGAACACTTAGTTTACCATCTGGAAGCACTGACGACTTGTTTTCACCCATAGTTTTAAATGATGCCAGTTGATGACGTACCTGTTTCATGGTTTGGCTGAGCTGCCAAAAAAAATCAAAAGCAAAAAACCAAATACATTAAGTGTTCCAACAAGAAAACAGGCCCCTATTATTAAAAACTGCTAGACCTAAAACAACAGGATTACTTGCAAAGGAGACTTTGATATACTGACAATGTTTTTGCAATATTATTTTCATTATTCTAAGAACAACATTTCATAATTTAAGGATTGTTCTTTAGTTTCTTTCTTCTTCTTTTTTTTAATGATGTATGCTTTATATTAGCTGTATACACAAAGATACCAGAACTTAAAAGTCTGAATTAATATACTTATAAATTACTGAGCAAACATATTCCTTACCATCTATCCAGCTTTTCTGTAAGGAGTTATTTTCAGCTAATCTTTGTATAACTAATCACTTTTCATCACTCCTTGAAATCACTAGGACTCTATTCCTAGCACTCCTGAAATCTATTCCGCCCCCCCCCTCATTTCCTTGAATTCCCTCTTCATCCCTAAAATTTGAAGGTTACTCAAATCTCCGTATGGAGATATTTACTGTTGAAGATCATAGACTAAGCCTTTAGTATGGGTTGCATCTCAGTGTAAAAAAAAAGCAAAAATCCTCACAATTGGATCAATAAATAACATTATAATAAATAGAGAAAAGACTGAAGTTGTCAAACACTTCATTATACTTGGATCCATCATCATCACATATGGAAGCAGCAGTCAAGAAATCAAACGAAATATTGCATTAGGCAAATCTGTTGCATAAGACCTCTTTTAAAGTGTTGAAGAGCAAAGATAACAGTTTGAGGATTAAAGTGTGCCTGAACCATGGTATTTTCAATAACCTTATATGCATGCAAAAGTTGGACAGTGAATAAGGAAGACTGTAGAAGAATTAACACATATGGTATGGGATAAGAATATTGAAAGTACCATGGATTGCCAGAAGAATAAACAAATCTGTTTTGTAAGAAGTACAGCCAGAATGCGCCTTAGAAGCTATGATGGTGAGACTTGTCTCTCATATTTCAGACAAGTAATCAGAGGGACCAGTCCCTGGAGAAGGACATCACGCTTGGTAAAGTGGAAGGTTAATGAAAAAGAGGAAGGTCCCCAATAAGATGGATTAGCATAAAAGCAGCATCAATGGGTTCAAGTGCAACAACAATTGTGAGGATGGCACAGGACCGTGCAGTGCTTTGTTCTGTTGTGCATAGGGTCGCTATGAGTCGGAATCAACTCAATGGCACCTAACAACAACTCAAATCTCCCTTCCTCCCAAGAAGCTCCATTAACTTAAATTATTAAGTTAACTTAAAACATAAACGCAAAAAATTCAGCAGAACCAATTTGCTTTAACTACTTTCAGTAACAGTTGATAAATAAACATCACTATTACTTATGTCAACTCTGTGTTCATTCTTTGTTTCTATCTGGTAATTTCACTATACACCTATTTGATTCTCTTATAGACTATACTGGAGTCCTGTTGTGGCACTGTGGGTTAATGTGCCAGACTGCAAAGTCAGTTTGAACCACAAGGCTGGCGGCGGTTCAAGTTCACTAGCTGCTCCTCGGAAACTCTATACAGGATCGCTGTGAGTTTGAATCAACTCAATGGCAATTGACAACAACAATAGACTATATTATGTCTCACAAATCTACATATATTGTCCCTGTTGTTAAGTGCCATTGAGTCGGTTCCGACCCATAGCAACCCTGCAGAGGGATTCCGAGGAGCAGCTGGTGACCTTGAACTGCCAACCTTGAGGTTCAAACAACTTTTCAGTCTGGCGCATTAACCCACAATGCCACACCATGACTCATTTAAATTGTCCTGGGGACAACACTTATTTGTTGTCCCTGTAGGGAAACCAAATACATGAATGATATACCATTATTACTTTAGGATAAGAATTATATCCCATGGAGGAAATAAGTATCTCCACATTGTTGTTATTGGTGCCATCAAGCTGATTCCACTTACAATAATGCTATGCACAACAGCCCTTACTTCATCCTCACAATTTCTCCATGTTTCAGTTCATTGTTGCAGTCACTGTCAATTCATTTTGTTTAGGATCTTCCTCTTTTTCTCTGATCCTTTACTTTATCAAGCATGATATCCTTCTTCGGAGACTGGTACCACCTGATAACATGTACAAAGTATGCGAGACAAAGTCTCACCATCCTTGTATCTTAGACGCGCTCTGGCTTCTTCCAACACAGATCTGTTCATTCTTCTAGCAATCAATGGTATATTTAATATTCTTTACCAACATCATTTTTTTGGTCTTCCTTATTCATTGTCCAACTTTCAAGTACATATAAGCAACTGAAAATACCAGGGTGTCATGGATTGAACTGTGTATCCCCCAAAATATGTGCCAACTTGGATGGGTAATGATTCTCGTTGGTTCTGCAGTTATATAATGATGCAATGTGGTAGTTATGAAATGATCTTCCACGATGTGATCTGATGTTATAAACCAGCAAGAGACTTAAGGGTGAAGTACAAAACCATTAATTCCTTCACAGACCAGATCTAATGCAAAGGGAGGTTCCTTGGGATGTAGCCTGCAACAACTTTTATCTTAAAAGAGAGAGAAGCCAGCAAAAAGAGAGGGATTTACTACTAACTTGAGCCCTGAGGAGAATGCATCCTTTGATCTGAAGTCACCGTGAAGCTCCTAGATGCAGCAGAAGATTGATGCTAAGACATAGAGAATCTCAAGGAGTGCCAGGTCTATAGATGCTGAAAGGAGACACAGAACTTTGCAAGAGCCCACAAAGAGAGAAAAGTCTTCCTCTGGAGCTAGCACTCTGAATTTAAAATTCCAATCTCTTATACTAGGACACCAGACTCGTTGCTCAGTTTGTCATACTGTGGTAGTTTGCATGTTACTGTGATACTGGAAGTTCTGCCAGCCATCAGTGTTTCTTCCTCTTTTTAACTTCCTTTGATTTCTATCCTTTCAATCTCTACTTTCTACCACTCGTCTGTCAATTTGTCATACTGTGATGGCTTGTGAGTTGCTGTGATTCTGGAAGTTATGCCACAGGTATTTTAAATACCAGCAGGGTCACCGGTGGATATGTTTCAGATGAGCTTCCAGATGAAGACCGACTAGGAAGAAGGAGTGACCAACTACTTCTGAATATTTAGTCACTGAAAATCTTATGAACAGCAGAGAAACACTCTCAGATATAGTGATGGAAAATGAGCCACTCAGATCAGAAGGCACTGAAAATGCAATTGGGGAAGACCTGCTTCCTTAAAGTACAGTTGACCATGATGACATGAATGGAGTAAAGCCTGTGGGAGTAAAACCCATGGTGCCGTCATTTACTGATGGGGCACAACTCAAAATGAAGAGAAACAGCTGTAAGCATCCATTAATAATTTGAACATGGAATGTACAAAGCATGAATCAAAGAAAATTAAAAATTGTCAAAAATGAAATGGAATGCATAATCATCGATATCTTAGGAATTAGTGAGCTGAAATAGACTGGTATTGGCCACTTTGAATCTGACAACCACATGGGTCACTATTCCGGGAATGAAAAGTTGAAGAGGAATATTGTTGCATTCATTGTCAAGAAGATCATATCCAGATCAGTCATGAGGCACAACACTATCTGTGATAGTATAATATCCATGCGCCTACAGGGAAGACCAGTTAATACCACTATTATTGAAATGTACATGCCAACCACTAAAGCCAGTGAGGTTGAAACAGAAGAATTCTACCAATTTCTTGGATCTGAAATTGATCAAACATGCAATCAAGATGCATTGATCATTACTGGTAACTGGAATGCAGAGGTTGGCAACAAAGAGGAAGGATCAGTAGTTGGAAAATATGGCCTTGGTGATATAAATAATGTTAGAGATCAATGCTAGAATTCTGCAAAATCAATGATGTGTTCATTTCAAATAACTTCTTTAGACAGCATGAGACGATTATACACATGGACCTCACCAGATTGAATACAAAGAAATCAAATTGACTACATCTGTAGAAAGAGACAATTAAAAAGCTCCATATCATCAGTCAAAACAAAGCCAGGGGCAGACAGTGGGACAGACCATCAATTACACATATGCAAATTCAAACTGAAGCTGAAGAAAATGAAAACAAGTCCACGAGAGCCAAAATATGACCTTGAATACATCCCACCTGAATTTAGAGATCATCTGAAGAACAGGTTTGATACATTAAACACTAAAGACCAAAGACCAGAAGAGTTGTGGGATGATATCAAGAATATCATACAGAAAGAAAACAAAAAAGTCACTGTTGTTGTTGTTAAGTGCCATCGAGTGATTCTGACCCATAGCAACCCTGTATAGGGTTTCCAAGGAGCAGCTGGTGAGCTTGAACCACCTACCTTGCAGTTCAAATGGCTTTGCAGCCTGGTGCATTAACCCACAGCACCACACCAAGACTAGCCATTAGAAAGAGAATAAAGAAGGAAAAGATCAAACTGGATGTCAGAAGAGACACTGAAAGTTGCTCTCCAGCATAGAGATGTTAAAGCAAATACAAGAAATGAGGAGGTCCAAGAGCTGAACAAGATTTCAAAGTTCAGCTCGAGAAGACAAAGCCAACTATTACAATGAAATGTGCAACAATCTGGAGCCAGAAAACCAAAAGGGGAACTGAAAAAAAAATTCAAGCTCTGACTTTTGTTATTGAAGGATTCTCTGGGCAAATTATTGAATGGTGAGGAAAGCATCAAAAGAAGATGGAGGGAATACTCAGAGTCAGTGTACAAAAAGGAAATGGTTGATGTTCAACTGTTTCAAGATGTAGCATACGATCAAGAGCCAATGATACTGAAGGGAGAAGATCAATGTGCATTAAAGGAACTGGCAAAGAAGAAGGCACAAGGAATTGATGGAACACAAATTGAAATCTCTCAAGAAAGCGAGTGGGCACTGGAGGCACTCACTCATTTATGCCAAGAAATTTGGAAGACAACTATCTGGCCAACTGATTGGAAGAGATCCGTATTTGTGCCC